GTGTCCTCTTGTGGTTTTAAGTTTTTGGAACGTTTAGATATGATCTTCTAGAACACTAACAAAAAGTATTTTTAGGTGAGGATGTGGGATAGATTCGCAGATTTAGGTGAATATTGCAATATTAAAAGGGTAGTCTGGATGCGACCTCGGAGATCCTTTCTAGTAAAAAGATTAAAAATACCAATACATCGGAATCGGACGAACCACGACATTAAGCGGACACAAGGCTCGGAGTCGTTACAACATTATTTTTTATACAAATGTTTTTAGCATGGAATAGTCCGGTAGTGGGCTAAAGAACTTTAATGCTATATGAATATATACATAATATGGTCCGGACACGAAAAAGTAAAGTATAATAATACTATAAAATATTCGAATACTACATTAATAAATAGAACAATTTATAAATTGCAAAAATCAGCTAATTTGTTTTTTTTTTAGTTTTCTTTATCAGTTTTAAGTTGCGTGGTTATGCGTCGAATACAATTGGTCTCACATCGATATCAGTTTTCGTTCTTGTATAATCAAGACAAAAAATTATTCCGGATACGCAGATACGTACATACACACATACAGACATCCACTTAAAAACTGGAGCATTCGACTCTAGTGACCTTGAAACGGGGAGATAAATAAAACTTACTATAACTTCCCACTAGGAAGTTAATAAAATTACATAACAAAAAAATGTTAAGAAAAAACTTCTATTTAACAATAAAATATAATAATATACTTACTAAAAAGGAAAAAACAAGTACAAATTTTTATCAAAAAATAGTTCACCTGTGTGCTTCGTTCATCAGTAAAAGAATTATCTCGTATCTGCAAAAACTGCCCATAAAAATTATATTATAGTAATTAGGTTACAGTAATATTTATCTACGAACTTGATTTTACCCGTAGCTTCGTTGATCATCAACAACCGCATTAAACTAATGTTTTCTGTTTCTATTTCCAGAAAAATCAGAAAATAATCAGGAAAATTTGATAATTGTATAAACAGGCAACAGTCAAACAGATACTCGACGGGCGGAGCGACGGAGAACAGTCAATATATAATCAGGCAGTAGTGGATCTTAGTGAAATGAAACAGGTGTGCTTCAGATGTATACTTATCCATTTTTTAAAATGTTAGCCTATTAAGGCTAATTCCATACTAATATCCGAGGCTAGCAACATCACGCGATAGCCAAATGTGTAGTATAAGCAGTCGGTTGAGTATCGAAACGTAGTATTCAAAGCGACCCTTCCGATGCCTAAAACTAAAATTACCTGCTATCAATCCCCCTTTATATGAGAAAAGGCCGGAATTGTACTAAGGACTTCCATCCTATTCTCATACACTTTTTTTTGGAGAAGCTCCAGACCCCTCTGCTTGTCAATAACAAGCGTAAATATTCGTGGTTTATCTCTGCTGCCCAACTCAGTTGACGTACCTTGAAGCGTCCATTTCTCGGCCTTCTCTGTAAAGAGAGTCCTCTCCAATGCCTGGTCCATCTACTCCGGGGTGATGACCGTGTCGACGTCCTTTATGAGTAACGTCCTTTTTGGCGATGTTTTCGTAATAACTTTGGGGTAGCCTAAGACACACCCTACTTCCCTCATCAGATCGAACCCCCTTCTTCATGTCCATTATCGGAATCATTACATCACCTCTTACCGGTTTGGAGATTCTAATGGCTTTGGCTCCTCGGCTTCAACGTTTGTCATGTCAATCTCAATTCTTACTCTTCAGAGGACACTAGCATAGGTAGCGTCTTTTCTGAAGGTCTTTTCGCTAATTATAAACGTCGTTCGCGGGGCTCTCTTTTTTCAGAATTCCCATTTCTCCCTTGTACTCTCCTTTTCGCCAACAGGGTTCCTAATATAGACCTCCACTACCTCCTCTACCGACGAATTCCAAAATTCATCTGATCACTGTTCCATTGGGAAAACCTATAGTTTCCAACTGGAACTGGGTGTCGTGTCTTCTGGTCATTACCCCCCAAGCATACTTCAGCTTCTCATGCAGTGCCTCCCCATCGCAGGGCACCGCGACTCTATGCTCAACTAGATGAGTTGGTTTTTTCTTCTCCTACTTATGCGGAATCCTGGAAGGAAGATTTTGTTTGAACGAATTGCATACGCCACTGTAGCTTTGTTTGGCTTGGCCCGTAGCGTCCTCCTTATTTCTCCATTGCGTGTGTAGGCAGCTTTCCCGGTCTAATCAACTCGTGTTCAGTATTATCAGGGTATTTGTGGTATCCTCAATACTTATTTCGAGTCTGTCGATCAGCTTGGAGGTTTTGAAGCAGTTCTGCTATCAGTCTTCTTCATCTTTTATCTCCATGAAGTCCTCATACGTTCTTCACGGATTTTGGAGAACTGACTCGATCTTCTCGACACATATTGCGGTGACGATATCTTCTTCGCCCAACTCTGTTCCCTGAGACGTCACTTCTGTGTTGGTGTCCGCCTCTGTCTGGGTTGCACACTTCTTCTTTATTGCTTCTCTCTTTTTCCACCTACTCTCCTTCTACCGTTTTATAATTCTCTCCGTTTGGGGTTTCCTACACAGAAGCTCTAATCCATGGGAGGCATACCTTATACCCTGTTTAACGTTAGTTAAAATATTTTCATGAGCTTATTGACTTTCTTGATTACAGCATTAATATAGCTAGGTAATTTTTCAGTTATGGGATTCTCCTTACGTTTGGGTGTTACATCCAATGAGTCTATTGATTCTGGGAATCCCCGCCTTCTTTTCTTCTTATATGATACAGTCCAGCGGTCCTCCTTACCTGTGATAGTTGACATTTCCAAATCCTCCAATGTTATCACCACATTCTTCGTCGTATCCTCGATGATTTTCGCGAAGATGCCTCTTCGTGGTATCTCCCGCAGGTCAGTGTCTCCCTCCGATAGAGATCTCGATTTAGGTGTCCTTTTAGTTTTGGTGCTCCTACACTTTCCTACCTTCAGTTTTTGAGTCATTCGTCTCCTCACTACCCTTATCACCTTGCACTCGGCCAGTTCCACCCAATACCACCTCGGCCCAGTTCACCACCAAGAAAGTGGTCACTATCACTGTTCCGGTCCTCGTAGATCCAGGCCTCACCTCACGACGGTTTCGATTGGAGTGGCAGGCCCGGCCACCCTTCCCTACCACGGCTAGATTCATTTAACCTGGTATCAATTTTTTCCAACTTTAGGGGCCGGTACCCCTACAACTTTAAGGCGGGGTTGAACCACGCGCGGTGTGGGTATCTCAGGCAGTAGAACCCCGCCGGCCGCTTACTTGACATTCCACGGTCCTCTGAGCCATCGCCGTTGGTTGTTTCTTTTCCCCCGATGTGCAACGACTGATTTGTTCAATTCTGTGAGAAAAGGAACATTGTTGACCCCTATCTGCTTGAAGGTCTGGTACCTCTTCGAGGGGGGTAATATGTCCACCTAACCAAACCTTTCCTATTCACGGCTTTTTTAACATCCTCGTAAAACACCACATCTCAATCGCTTCGAAAGTTTTGTTTTTCACAGTGCTATTGCTTATGTTTCACGCCAATAGAGCCGTTAAAAATTGTTTTCAAATTTTCAAATTTTCCAAACAAATCTCGAGCATAAAAGTAACTTTTTTGGTACCAGTATAAGACTCATTTAAACAAACAAAATTACACTACAAAATTCGCAGAAATTGCTCAAAATTTCCAAAAAGTTGAGGGAAAATGAAATGCATACGAGGAATGCTATTTTTGTCTGCAGAATGTATCAATAGAAAGTCTTTACGAATTGCATCATTAGTATTAAGATAATATCTACTTTCAACATCCAATCAGACCAAAGGACAAGAGATTCAAAGTTAAAGTTGCTCAGATAATGATTATCGATTTTCTTGTTTTATCTCGTTTCAAGTAATATTCATTGTTTATTGGTACAATCATAATAAAATTTTCATGTAAATAAGAAATTGTAGAACGAAATGTTTTTCATATTAGTGAATTGTTTTGCTTGTCAATCATTAAAAGTTATATGATAAGATAAAATACGGTTTAAATTAAAAAGCTCTCAAAACACAACACTGAACTTGAATCTTACACTTTGCGTAAATTAAAACATTGTTTATTTAGATCTTTCTTATTCGGAAACATTAAAGAAATAGCACTCGACAAAATTGAGGATGGAGACTGCAAATCAGATAAATAATATATCTATACTTTATATTTAATTAAGACGTGTTTGTGCGAACATACTCATTTACATACGTATTCGTTGCAATCAAAAATGATATATAAATAATATTAATCGATAGTACAATAACAGCAACAATATAAGGTAATATTCTATGCAGTTTAACTCAAAGAGTGGGTAATCCCTAAACCCACACATTAATTTAAGAGGTGTCTGCATGTTAAATAAATATTTACTGATAACGCTCGCAGATAAAATAAATGCTATTGAATGATAGCAGAAGTATTGGTTAATGTTTCGTATAAATACTTTTTTTAAGCAATGACATCTACTAAATGTTAAATTACTCTCTTAGTTAAACAGATGTATGAAGTCCTACTTTTCTATAACTGCAATATTTACGTTGTATATCTTGTCTTAAGTTATGATAGAAACTAATGGTATCATTTCTTTCCCACTTGACTTGATAGAGTAACATTCTAAGAGTGAAATTAGTTATAGAATTGGGCTAATAATTTTCAAAATAGCATTTCATACACATACATTAAGTAATCGTACAAACATCATGTCTTTAAGATACTGCTAGAAATTATCTTCGGTGTCGCGCCGTTTACTAAAGTTAAATTTACCTATCTAAATTGTTGTTATATTTTCATATCTGATTACTTTGATATAAATATAATTACATTACGTCATGCGTATGCGACGCAAACAACAATTTCTTGAAAATATAAAAAAAAAAAATATTAGGACACCTGCTTGCTACTTCCAACAAGTAAATCTGATAGATAATAAACCACTGAAACGGCTAAGGTATATAATGAGGGACTACATTTTTAATTTCGACATTCGAGATGGCCTTTCCAATGATCGCTATTTTCGTTGTTTTCTTCATAAGACATTGCTACGGTGGTGACACATATAAAGACAACGTAGATTTCACTGACTTTTCATGGGTACACGACAGTTATCCTTCAATGGTAAGGGATAGAAAGGAAAAAATAGAAGATGTAGCTCCACCAGGTGCAGAATGGGCTGATGTCAATCGTACCTTTGTAAGTAATTACTAATTTGTCTATTGGTTCAAATAAAGTTTACAAAAATATTATTTGTCGTTAAAACAGGAGGAAATGGTGCAAGCAAGAGGTTTCCCTGTTGAAACACATTCCGTTACAACAGAAGATGGCTACATTTTGACTTTGCACAGAATTCCTTATGGAAGAAGTGGCCCATCAGAAAACAGACCAGCAGTTTTTGTCATGCATGGATTATTGTCTTCATCAGCAGATTGGATTATTTCCGGAGTTGACAAAGGACTCGGTAAATGATTTTTTAAGCTGCAGCAAATTTGTTAAAATAATATCCTTTTCGTTTTAGCATATTTATTGGCAGACAAAGGATACGACGTTTGGTTAGGAAATGCTAGAGGCAATACAAATTGTCGAAAGCATGTAAATCTAGATATCAAAGAAGATAAGGAAGCCTTTTGGAATTTTAGCTGGCACGAAATCGGTTATTACGATCTTCCTGCTATGATTGACTATGTTTTGGAAGAAACGAAACAAGACAAAATATTCCATATAGGACATTCCCAAGGAACAACTTCGTTTTATGTGATGACTTCTTCGAGACCTGAGTACAACGCCAAGATTCGCGCTCATTTCAGCTTATCACCCGTTGTTTATATGAACCATTTGGTCAGCCCCATGGTTCGCATGGCCGCTGCAATTGACCTCCCTTTACAAGTAAGTCAGTTTCTGACAAAGGTAAAACGAATTAATCAATGTTACTTTTTATTTGATAAGAATTTCCTGCACCTTATTGGAGCTTACGAAATTTTGCCCACTAGTGCATTATTGCGTAATTTTGCCAGCAAATTTTGCGCTGATGATGCAATAACTCAGTTTTTGTGCAGCGATTCCCTTTTTGCCCTTTGTGGCTTTAGCCGTAATCAGATGAATGCAACTTTATTGCCAATATTGGTAGCTCATACGCCCGCTGGATCATCTACAAGACAATTAGTTCATTACGGTCAAGAAGTTAATTCAGGTAAAAGTCTACCATTATTTTTACGTCTAAAAGCTATAGTTTTCATAAACGTAATTTGTAATTAAATGTAGGGTAAAGTACCTTTAGTCGTACCACCTCTTAAGTCGTACCACGTTGATATCTGCGCACCCGTCCATGTAAAGGTGACATCTAGCGGTACAATATGGAACTGCTCAGTCGCACGGATAAACAACAATAAGCGGCGGCTTGCCGGATTTCACGCTCGAAAAATAATGAAAAATTAAGTTTTTTGCACAGTTTTCACTAATATTTTTACGTCAGTCGTAAGCCATTTCAGAGAAGATTATGATGAAATCGATATTTTTTTGATTTATGTCTGTTTTTGTAGTGTTTTCTTGTTGACATGAGCTAGGTCAAACGGTAAACGATTTCTAGGTTATGTTATTAATTTTGATTTATAACTTTGTACACTCCGCTGCCTAACTCGTACCTGCATAAACTTCCTAAATCGTACTGGTACGACTTAGGTGTTACGGAGACAAAGAAACTGAAGAGACCTATATTAAATTTGAAAAACATTAAAAAAGAAAAAGGAACACAAGGAACTAATAAAAAAAGAAAGATAGACAGGAAATCTAACAAGGATAAAAAAGTAAACGCTAAAGAAAATTGGTTGTGCAAATTATGCAACGAAGATCGTAAAGAAAACATGACCGAATGTATTAAATGCAAAGGATGGGTACATGACTTATGTGCAGATGTCGAAATGAACATAAAAAATTATATTTGTGATATATGTGTTTAAAAAATGATAGGTTTATTTCGTAATAGCCTACTTATTATTACGGAATAACATTAACGTGTTTTTATTATTATAATAAGAAGGAAGACTGAAATTGATCTCGTAGCATATAAGTCTACGCAGTTTTTTAATTGTCCTAACACTTCTAGTTGGAAAAATATAAGAGTAGTCTAAGTACGACTTAGGCCATGGGTGGTACGATTAAGGCAACCAGTTGCCTAAGTCGTACCGAAGGAAGGCTTTTGTAAAACCTTTGAAAAACATTTTTTTTTAAGATTTTTAAATGGCTATCAATGTTTTTTGATTCGTTAATAAAAGAAGATTTTATGATTGTAAATATTTTTCTTTTATTTATATTACAACAGAAATTATAGCTATTTTCCTTGAACTGGTACGACAACTAAGGCGACCTTACCCTAAATACAATTGTGCTTATCGATGTAAGCAGTAAACTTTTCTTTTGTTACAGGTCGTTTTCGTAGATATGATAATGGTTTACTTAAAAACAAAGCAGCATATGGTTCATTTAAGCCCCCGAATTATGATCTTGAAAAGGTCACAACCCCCGTATACATTTTCTACAGTACAAATGATTGGATGTCGGCCGTAACTGACGTTTTAAAATTAGAAAAATTATTACCCAACATTAAAGGGAAATTCTTGAACCCAGATCCTGAATGGAATCATTTGGATTACGTTTATGGAATTGATGCTCCTAAATACGTTTATACACGAGTCATAAGCCTAATGACCCGACACTAAACAAAATGAGAGGTACACTTCAAAAACGATGAGGCTGACGTTGTTGGGTAGTATGAGATAGGGTTATTAAAAAAAATATAATGCGAATAAAATACACCGATAAAGGTAACGTGACAATGCCGTTGAAACTCTGCTAGTTATTCACAAAATAAAATTTAGTTTCTACAAGAAAAACGCTGAGAATCTGTAGTAAATATAGCAAAACCGATGAACTTCACGTATAAAAATAATTTTTCCCTTAACTCACTAAAGGTGACCCCTCATTATTTTTTCAGTGTGCTCTACGAACATCAGCATTTAAAAACCAACGCACTTAATAAATAACATTCTTCTATTATTTGAAGATATTTAAGCAGTTTATTACAGATCCATGAGTTAATTAATGAAAATACATATTGTATTTACAAATTTGTTGCAAATAAACCAAATTTATCCTGAAGCGCTGTAATTTCTTTTTCATTACATTTTTACGTTCCTATTACCGTTTAGTGTGCACTTCTGTAGATAATTGAATGAAAAATGTCGTTACGCCTGGTCAATTTTGCTAATTTCTCTCGAAAAATATAGATGAGGAAGACTGATACATAATAATAACTTCATTTTTATTAAAAAGAATTAAAAAAACATCGAAACTATTTTATACAGAAAATATGTATGAAAGAATGGTTTACTATAGTTGATTTACCTTTCCTTGGATCACTTAGGCCAGTGATTCCCAACCGGTGGTTCGCGAACCCCTGGGGGTTCGCAGTGTTTTCAGAGGGGGTTCGCGAAAATAATATTGTAATGGGGGATTTTTTAAAATGCCAAAAAAATTCCTGTTTGTTAAGAAATCTATAATAAATTTCAATATTTTCATTTCTTTTTTACTTATTTGTTTTTCAAAATTACTTCATCAATATCAAAATATATCAACAATTTTATACATTAAAATGTATTCCTCTTATTCAAGTAATCAAATACTATTCTCTTTTTATTACAAACATTTATTTATATTTAAAACATTTTATCAATGTGATTAGTATCATGTTCTGCTTTATATTTAAAATCATTGCAGCAGTTTTCCCTTCTATGTAATATTTTTTTACAATACAATTGGAAATAAATATCAAATTAAGACAGTTTACAATAGATTTTAGAATTAGATACTTGTTCACAACCGGGAATTGGTAGAGTAGTGTTGTATTAATCGACGTTCATACATAGGCTTAGCACTTGTAAAGCTTGAGTGATAGTGATACTGTGACTGTCAAGTTCTCGTGTAAATGATTTAATAATTATTAATTTAATTATTATTATAGCTTATTTTTATTAATTAATACAGTCAATTATTCTGCAATATGAAAAATATACATTCTATCAAATTTTATTGCTTCTTTTTACTTGTCATAGGGGGTTCGTCAAATTTTTTCGGACCTTTCTTTTGGTTCGCGAGGAAAAAAAGGTTGGGAAACACTGACTTAGGCAAATGCTGGGGCAATAATATTCCACAGATAATCTTTCATTCTCTTCTGTCTTCATTTCGTCCGTCTCATCTTTCTCGCCGGAACCACCACCCACCCATTCTCACGATTCCTGAAAAAAGGCTGAAGGGGGTCTTCCCCCCTACCTTCCGACATAGTCCGGAGGGATTGCCTGCCCACCAGCATTACTAACTGGTGGAAATGAAACACCCAAAAGTTTTGTTTTCGTAACTTCCAATTCGTTTGCACCGTACATTGCCTACCTGCAACTTAAGTATAAGTAGTGCTTAGTTTTTGATGGTTTGGCAACAACGGTAAAATTTAGCAATTTGTAGTACTTTTTGTGCAGAATGATCAAGAAGTTTCTAACTGATTGTGTCCGTTAAGTAACGTCTGGTATCGTGAAGTATTGTTTGCCGTCTTTTTCTGCTGTTATACGTTTTTGTGATTATTTGTGTTTTATCAGGTTTTGTTGTGTTTTAGTTTGTATAAATATTAGTAGTATAGTGTTAAAAACAATTTTTAGTTGTAATTAGGATAGTGTAGAGACAATTTTCTTCTAAATTACTTATAAACAGACCTTTTCCAACTAAAAGCAGTACTACACAGGAGTTTAACCGTTAACTCCAACTATCAAAATAAATTGTTAAGTGTTTTCTAAAGGTGTTTATTTTCAATAACAACCATGCTTTTGATAAAACGTATTATTATTGTATATTATTGGTTCACCTTCTATTACTAATGATCAGCTATTGGCGTTCTTATCACTACTTCAGCTAAATTGCGTACATTGTCAAATTTCTAATATATCATCGGATGCTAATTACTACTCTTGGAATGTAAATAATCCGTACATTACAACACAATAACATAAATGATAACACACACCAACTTCAATTTAATGATAAATTTAATAATTACTACCATCTATTGTTTAGAAAATACTACAAACGGCACAGTGAACGCCATCTGTAGCACGATGCTACATTTTAGGATTACGTATTTTTCAACAAGGTCCACTTGTGTGGATATCTACTTGCTGAAAACGAATCCCGGCGTAGCCAACCTCAACGTGATAGGCACGTTAGCTTAATCGAATAAAATAATTCGAAGTGGTCTGTATTCTGTCGAAACTGCCAGACGCGGATCGCGATTTCGATCTTTTTGGATCTCAT